TGGAGATACACATACAAGGTTATCCGTTTTGGTAGTTTGGCTAAACATATATATAACTGGTAAATTATAAAGGCAGGGATTTCGTTACCACAAATTACATAAAACCTTTACTAAATTATTCCATAGATATAAAGAATTGGTTTTGAAGTTTGGTTGTACCTGTAGAAAACTTATTTCAAACGGTATAGCACATCCTCATTTTTACGGAGATGTTGTTACCGAGCCCGAAAATTTGAAAACGATCCGGGTAAACTTATCGATCCTTTAAATAAACTAATTCTTAAAGATTACCAATTCAACACTGTCATTAGATCTTTGAATATTGTTTTTTTTTGTATTAATATTGATTTTGTGATCGGTAAATTAAAATCAAAATATATATGATTTTTATATGTATATGCACATTCATTAAACAGCGGTATACTACTGCTACTTTTATTTATTCATAGCTCTATATTCTGTCGATACCTGTATTTTGGCAATGCACAAGGTCATGTTTTTTCCTGACTGTCTATGACGTCTTAACACTAAATCCAATGGATGTTAAATGTGAACTGAATGATATTTTAGTCTTAGATGCATGATTTTTTCATTAGTTGTTGTTGGCTTTGAACTAGCTGTCAGAAACTGCGATTACTCTCAAATTTGTACTGAGTGTATTTCTGTTGTGTGGATGTATAAGTACCCGTCCACGACCACTCTGTGTTTTGTTAGATGTATTTCTATTTTTATCCATCTGATGAGGTACGCCTTTTTCAACTGTTTTTGATAGTTTGTTCTTATGTTGTACTGTTACACCACTGTCCCAGGTTAGGGGAAGGGTTTGGCGCCAACAAACTAGTTTAATCCCGCCACATTCTGTATGTGCCTTTCGTAAGTCAGGAGCCTGTAATTCAGTGGTTGTCGTTTGATGTTGTGTAACATTTTGTTATTCGTTCATTATTTTGCACATAAATTAGGCCGTTAGTTTTCTCATTTGAACTGTTTACCATTTGTCATTTCGGGACCTTTTATAGCTGACTATGCGGAATGGGCTTTGCTCATTAATAAAGGCCGTACGGTGACCTATATTTGTTAATTTCTGTGTTATTTGATCTCTTGTGGAGAGTTGTCTCATTGGCAGTCATACCACATCTTCTTATTTTTATATTTAAGAAAACGTGTACCGTACTATGACCTATAATGGTTTACTTTCATAAATTTTGACTTGGACGGAGAGTTGTCTCATTGGCACTCATACCACATCTTCTTATATCTATTGTAACAAACGGGATATCATATCCTCATTTTACGGTGCTGTTTTTAATAGAGCCCGTGAATTTAGAAACTATCCATGTAATCTTCTTTGGATATTATTATTTTAAAAGGTTATCAATTTAACACTGTAATAATATCATTGAATATTGTTTTATCGGTACTAATAATGATTTTGTTATTAATGAATTAAAACAATACTAACATGTATTTTTATGTAGTGATACACACTAACGGAACTACATCCTGTCAATACTTTTGTTTTATATTCTAGGTTTAGGTACAGGGTTTGGTTACATTCTATTTTAATGTTTATTACAAGTATTTTGCAGTGTTACAATGGTTACACTATGGTTATAAGATCGTTACACGTGGTTACAATTTAAATCAATAAAATCTGCGAATTGCTAGGTTCCGTTGGTTAGATAAATATATCTAATCAGTAACCAATGTAACTCTGTTACTGAACTTGGGAAAGAAGTCTGTTTTAAAAACGGTACTTGTTACAAATATTCATGAATATAAAATGAATGCAACAAATAATACCATTGTAACCCTCCATTTCCTTGATTCTTATTTGTTACCTGGTGTAACTATTCTCATGTAGTTGTTACTAATTTAGATACGTTGATTTAAGGATACATTTCTAGTTGAGCACTCGCAAACATATTTACTCCTGGCGTCATATTCTGTATGTGCCTGTCCCAAGTCAGCAGGCTGTAATTCAATACCTAAATAGTTGTTGTTGGTCGCTGTATATCATATTTGATTTTCGTTAATTATCTAGTAAAACAATCAGCGCTTTGGTTTCTTCGTTTAATTTTACATTTTTTCATGTCAGTGCCTTTTATAGTAATGGGTTTTGCAAACTTTGATTGCCACCTGGTGACCTATGATAAACAGTTGCCTTCATCTACGTCATTTTTGGTCTATGTTGAAGAGTTGTCTCATTAGCCATCATGCCACGTCTTCATATGTTGATGATTATTTTCTATACTTGATACTAAATATTGCTTGTCTCTCTTATTCGGCTGGGGAAGATTTACAATTTGTCGACTGTTTTTTCATCAATATCCCTCCAAGGCGTTATATATCTGTTAAAATTCCCAGTCGTCGCTTGTCTTAGACCATGAAATGAACACCAAAATGAGTTTTGCCGTAAACAGTTATTTACATATCGTCGGCCGTTAATAATTAACAGAAGATATCACGGACATATATGTATACCATACGCATATCATTTAATAGTACTCCTTTATTTGTATTGTTAGATGTTAATTGCAAGATACATTTCTAAGTTGATAATTTTAATTTCATCTGTATATTTATTAAGGATGATACATATACATTAAGGGAAGTTCCTATCACAGATGTATGCGTTCAAATCAAAATTTTTGAAATATAAAAAATATGGTGTTCAGTTTTAAACATGTCGAAAGGCCTGAAATATGAATGTTTTAATATGTTAATGTGATATGATACAATGCTCTGGACAAAGAAAGTTTTTTTTTAAATACATACAAAGAATAGCTGTAGTTATTTATGCCATCCAGATATGATGCATATGATGAAGAACAACATTTACTTGATGTAGAACTGGAACATCAGTCGTAAGTACAATATTTGCCACCATAATATGATGAAAACGAATAGTTATTATCAATGTAATAATAACATGTTTTACTGATTACCACTTCTGAAACACAAACATTTTGGTTAAATTTGGAAAAAAACCACGTTAATAAAAATTTTATTTCTGACACCAAATATTTTCACATAGAATCTACTACGTGTAAGCATAATAGCTGTGATAAGTACCTTTCAAAATATATGTGAAGGAACATTAAACAAAGTTAGGTATTTTAGTTTTAGATTTATTTCGCTGCGATAATGTCTCATTGTCGTATTGCACAACATCTTCTTTATTACTAAATTGAGTTCCTTCTTGCGTCAAATTTTCCTTTTAATGTCAAGGTACTTCCTTTTAAAATTATCCTTATTCGCATCTGTACTTGTTTTGTTTTTTCGTTTTGTTTTTTGTTTTTTGTTTTTGTTTGTATTTGTTATTATTCGATTCTTCAAAGACTTTTGAATGCCGATGTTTACAAAGCATTCAATTTGTGGCACACGTTATAAATATACAATCATGTTATAAATCTTAAACAGGAAATAATTTATATGAATATAACTTGTGCTAGTCTTGTATAAAGAGTAATATAATTTACATCCTTTCTTCTTAATTATATACTAGTTGAAATCCCAATTGTTTTTGTCTGTGAATTTTTAGATTTATTTACTCGCGTATTCAAATAAAAAGTACAAATACTAAAATGTCTACGTTTTTATTCAAAATGTTTGCATTGCATGAACGTAACGATACATTTGAAAAAAAACAATAATAATAGATCAAGCTATATAAGAGCCCCGTGAAATTGCAAGAGTTAAACTCTTCAATATCTTCAAAATTAGGTTTGTTTTATCAATAATTGAAAATAATGATATTATGTGAAAACTTGAGTAGGGAAATTTTAGATAGATGCTACTATGACGTCTAAACCAAACATTTGACCATATATGAACATTTTAGTAGTTCATGAAACAAGGCCTTACACAAGGAGTGTTTATTTTCATTGAAATACCTCCATTTTCAGTTCATGACAATATTTGCTCGTTGGATTCAATAACAAAGGTAAAATAAAAATAAAATACATTTTAATAATTGTCAATGTATAAGACAATAGTTGCAATCAAATTATATAATCTTAATATTTTAGATGACAATTCATGCAATACTAAATTAAAAATGCAGACTTTTTCAGAAAACATTACAAAAGTTATTATGCTTTCAAATAAATAAAGAATATTCTTAAAAACAATTTTTACATGTGCGTTTATCCTGTATCAACTATGTTGTGCGTTCAAAGAATTTTCGCTTTCTTTCACATTGTCATGAGCAAGATTGTCGTAGCTTGGTGGGTAAGCTGTATTTCCATTATTTGGTGGAATAACATTTAGTTGTTCAGTGCTGCCCATTATGTTAATATTACTTCTAAATTGGGGTTGGAAAGCAGTTTGATGGTCTACAAATAATAATTAATGGTGGTCATAAATTAAAGTTCGACTTAAAATATTACAATAAATATATTGTGGTTAATATAAGATAAAGGTTTTTGTTTTTACGAAACATAACACAATAACAAATCTAACAGCAAATACACAACTGTATGTTCTGAACATAGTACATTTGGAAAATGCGGAAGATGTTGATAATAGATTAAAGCACTTTTTAGCATCCTTCTTTTTTCAAAATGCGCATTTCAATTTCATACATTTGTATCTATATTACTAGAAGATATTTTTGGTTGAACAATTAGACTCTTGGATGTATTCACAACCTCAAATTCTGGTTGATACAGAGATTTACATATATGAGGACGCTTGTGAAATTCGTGTTTAACATCTAGTCTTTTAACTTACTAAAGGCAAAATGTTGTTTTCTTGGTGTCTTTAGAATATTGTTACCCAAACAACCCGTTCGATTCATACGAAGGAAACCAAATTCTGTATATAATATTCTCAATTCCACCAGAGCTTAGATTTGTAATGAAACGCTCTTTTATCCTTTCGGTGAAATAAAAAAAAAAACAATTTCACAAACAAGACTAACATTTACTATGCATTCATACTGTTATCTTACATGCAGTGGGTACAGCGCCTCCAGTAGTAGTTACGTATGCTACAGCAGGTTGAGATATAATATGACCTTGCACGCCTCGTTGGGCTCTCATTCTTTTGCAGATATAGGAGATGATCGAAACGAAGATAGTTAAAGCGAAGAGACTACCGACAACTGCCCCTATGGTTCCAGCTGTTGACCTATGAAATGGGGGAAATCTTTGATATATCAGAAACCTATTATGATTATAAATAAAATAACTTAACATGCAAAACAAAAATAATGATATGATCTGTATTATACACTTTTCTCTTCTTATTTTGATTGCTTATTTTTGTACATGTATGGTATATATACGGGGCTCCAGTACACGGTACAACTCTTAGTTCACAGAGTCACGTCTAAAAAATGACTATGGTCACCTGGTTACTTTTAAACTAACTATACAGTTTTGATCTGACCTGATTCCCAGTTTTGAGCATTTAAAAAGGTCACAAGTCCTTTTAAGTGAATCGTCAGGTCACAATATCGCTGCCTCCGAAACTCACCAAGGGCGCAGATCAGATTTGACAATGTATACAATTTACGTCCATTGTCGGAGTGTATAAAATTTATTTGTACAACATTCAAAAACTTAAGAATACCGTAGCAACAATATACAACTTACGGCAATGTAAGTAAAATAATGTATCCTTTTTTTTAACATTGATGCTGAAACCTTTTAATTATACACCGTGTGAATGAATGCTGGATTTTGGATAGGTTGATAATAGGTGTGTTATTATTATAGCATTTTGTCATTTTTCTTCATTTTGCACACATTGCACGAAGATTCTTTTTCTTGTACAAAGTTTCGGTATGATTGAAGATTTAAATCTATGCATCTTCACCAACTATTACAGTTAAAAGTACTGATTTGTCCCTTAGTTAACAATAATCGTTTTTAGCAATTGTAAATGGAAAAACAAGCTGGTCAATGAGATTTTCGGGTACTTCTGTTTTCCGTCCTATGATTTGATTAGCCAGCAAAAGCTATAGATGTACTCTTAAAATAGGAAGTTAACAAAGGAAATATTGATTTCATGGTCCACTTAGAAAACACGCAAACTTAACTCAATTGTTTTGAACGACACACTCATGTATATATGCTGGATATTTTGTACATAAATCAGGCCGTTAGTTTTCTCGTTTGAATTGTTTTACTTTTGTCTCTTTGGGGTCTTTTATAGCTGACTATGCAGTATTAGTTTTATTTATTGTTGAAGGCCGTACGGTGACCTATAGTTGTTAATTTCTGTCTCATTTGGTCTCTTATGGAAAGTTGTCTCATTGGCAATCCTACGACACCTTCATATTTTTATATGTGAAAAGAAACCAATGACAAAATCTATATAACATTTAAAAAAAAAGAAATTCCCCACATCTTTATCTTAATTGATCTTAAGTTTAAATACAATACTTACATTTGGTTTAATTAAACAGTAAAAAAAATCTTTGGATGTTTGGATGTTTTAGATATTAAAAAGTTACTGGCCTTTGAAGGTAACTTCTATTCGGTTGACAGGTCTTACGTCCAAAGTTCTTACTTTTCGACTCTCAACCCTACACTTCTAAACTATCTTGAGTTTTTGTTTTATTAAAAAAATGGTTCTATGAAAAATCATTTGCTGCAAAAGGGTAGATATGATAGATATAATAACTGGCAGTTGGATGAGATACATTGTAATTAGAGCTGTACATTTAATCATTGACAACATACATAAACGTTTTGGCAATACAGCTTTATCGACAATTGGTAGGTTTTTCTGTGGGCACCAATTGCACCCTTTCATTAACAGACTGTTCCTGTATTGATATAAATCTCAGTTTATGGTTAACTCAGTAAAATTCATTCTCAATTCCATAATTAGTTATTTCAACAACACTAGTTTTTGTGTAACATAATTCAACATTCTCTAAATATGCTGCCCTAATTTGCCAAATGGAAATACTTTAAATAATTCTAATATATACAGAAATAATTGTGCTTTCCTAGATTTAGATATTTCAATTTCACACGCAAAATCGTATACAAACAATTACGCCAAAAAGGCACGATTTGAACCCTTTTTCACTAAACAGAAATAATTGTGCTTTCCTAGATTTAAATATTTCAATTTCACACGCAAAATCGTATACAAACAATTACGCCAAAAAGGGACGATTTGAACCCTTTTTCACCTGTTTCGAACGGGATGTTTCTTTTGCCCATAAAACAGGGTTTATATATCCCAACTCTTACACTATGCCTGTTTCTGTAGTGACGTTAATGATTTCAATGAAAGTTATCTATGTAACACTGGTAAAATATTAAGAGTTTTCGATACAGTCTGACGTTGTATTGTCATTTTTATAGTTTTGAAATATGTTGTAGGCCTAGGTGAGTTGTGAAAAAACACAAAATAAAACATAGGTCACCGTGTAGTTTTTGAGATAATTGAGGCTGAAAATTGTGATTTTTGAACTTTTGTGAAAAAGTTAAGCTAAGTATTAAATATTTTAGAGTCGGTATTCTTCGTCATAAATTAACAAGTTTGGATTCATTTTGAAGCCGTGATAAGTAAAAATGAGTGAAAAATAACTACACATAAGAATAATTCGTTTATTACTCAAGCCAAGCTTGATATCACGAATAAGATTTCTTTTTATCCTTGAAATGCAGAAATCATGCTTTCTCACAATGTATTTTTTTTATTTTTTGTCTACATTTACTGCCTTTTATCAAGCTTTCGCAAAAGGGCAAATGCAAACTATATGACACCGTGCTGGATTGCAATAAATACCCCCCCCCCCCCCCCCCCCCCCCCCCAAAAAAAAAAAAAAACCCTTGCTACCCTTAACGTTAGCGCAAATTCACGACGTCACTGACTAACAATTTCGACGTCTCCCGTCAATATTCCATGCATGGTTTTCGGCGTCCTTTTTCAGGTGTATATGAAATGTTAGATTACTAAAATTACGGGGTGGAGGAAGCAGCACGAGTAGTAAATGTGTTGTATACCTTTATCAGTAGTTACATTGTACAAACGAAGAAAGATCATTCAAATAAGATTGATAAATTACTTCTTCACAATAACAAAAGCACTACTTATATTTATATTGAGGGAGACATTCAAATCCAAATTCTTTTTTTCTGAACTATACATTTTCATTGCTTTTACATGTTTTAGACTTAAAAGGCTTGTACTAGCGTTTTATATTTCATACCTAAAGAAAAAAGTTTTTCCTTTATTCCTGGGTGTATTCTCTCGTTCTTTCTTATATGTGCATTTATTTATTTTACAGTTGGAGTTGGAGATAAACAAACAAGGTAATATGGTTTGGTAGTTTGGCTGAACATGTAAGAAAACTTGTAACTAACGGGATATTACAACCTCGTTTTAAGGTGGTGTTGTTTGAAGAGCCCGTAAATTTAGAAACGATCCATGTTATCTTATCGCTCCTCTGAAAACTCTTATTCTAAAAAGTTATCAATTTAATACTGTAAAAATAGCATTGAATATTGTTTTATCGGTGATAATATTGATTTTGTTATTAATGAATTAAAACATAGCTAAAATGTATTCCTATACAGGGATGCACACCCTACGGACCTACATCCTGTCAATACTTTTTTTTCATTTACAAGTCTATTTTCAGGGTTTGGTTACATTCTCTTATCAGTATTTTTCAGGGTACAATGGTTACACTGATTTGGTTACACGCTAGTTACACGTGGTTACACTTTAAAAAAAAGTATGCAAACTGCTGGATTATATTTGTTAAATAGATATATCTGATCAATTACCAATGTAACCATGTAATTGAACTTGGAAATGAAATATATTTTAAAAAACAGTACTAGTTACAAATATTATAGTGATTGCAATCAATGAAACCGTTGTAACCCTACATTTGCTTGATTCTAATTTGATTCCCAGTGTACCCATTCTCGTGTAGTGGTTACAAATTCTGATATGTTGATTTTAGGACATATTTCTAAGTGAGCGCACGCAAACATATTTAAACCTTGGCGTCATATTCTGTATGTGCCTGTCCCAAGTCAGCAGGCTGTAATTCAATACCTGTTTGGTTGTTTTTGGTCGCTGACTATCATATTTGATTTTCGTTTATTATTTTGTACATAAATCAGGGCTTTGGTTTCTTCGTTTAATTTTACATTTTGTCATGTCAGTTAATATATGCCTTTTATAGTATTTTTTTTCTTCAAATGTTTAAGGCCACCCGGTGACCTATAATAAACTGTTGCTTTCATTTATGTCATTTTGGTCTATGCTGGAGAGTTGTCTCAATTGCCATCATATCACGTCTTCTTATGTTTATGTAGAACTGTTTATGATCATTTGCTAAGAATTCCATACTTGATGCTAAATATTTCTCGTCTTTCGGCTGGGGAAGTTCTACATTTTGTTGACTGTTTTTTTTCTTCATTATTATCCCTCCAAGGCGTTATATATCTGTTAAAATTCAAAGTCGTCGCCCGTCTTAGACCGCGAAATGAACACTAAAATGAACTATGGCGTAAACTGTCATTTGAATATCGTCGGTAGCTAATAATTAACGGAAGACACCACGGAAGTATATGTATACCACAAGGATATATCATTAGGGACTTTCCGTTTTGAATTTTCAGTATTTTTGTGATTTTACTTTTTCATGTAATGGTACCCCTTTATTTGTATCGCTAAATTGTTAATTTGCAAGATACATTACAAGTTGTTGTTTTTACTTCCATCGGTACATTTATTAAGGTTCGTACATGTACATTCAGTGAATTCGTATCATAGAATGATGTGTGTGTTTGAAGCAAAATTTTCCACTGAAATATAAGAAACAATGGTGTTCAGTTTACGTGTCTAATAGCTTGGACAAAATATAAATGTTTAATATAATAATGTGATATGATACAATTATCTAGACTTTTGACGTTTCTAAAATACATACAAAGTATAGCCGTAGTTACTTATGCCGTCCAAATATGATGAATATGATGCAGAACAACATGGACTTGTTGTATATTTGGAACAACATCCATAGAAACAATATTCGATATCAGAATATGAATGGAAAGAGCTAGAAATGTAATAAACGCATACTTTACTCTTGCAACTGACCACTCCTGAAATACAAACGCTATGTTTAAAATTAGTTTTAACATGACAAAATTAAAGAAAATACTAATTTAAACTGCTTGAAAAGAAACACGTTAAACGAAATTCTATTCGGACATTGAAAAAATTAAAGCAAGATATCTTTGTTAAGTAGCTTTAAAATATCTGTTAAGGAACATTAAACAAAATTAGGTATTTCAGTTATAGATTTGTGTCGTTGGGGTAATAGTTCATTGTCGTATTCCACAACATCTTCTTTATTTCTAAATTGACTTCCTTCTTGCATCAAATTTTCCTCTTCTTGTGTAGGTGCTTCCTTAAGAAATTATATCTGTTGCATCTTAACTTGGTTTTTTGTTTGTTTCGTCAAAGACTTGTTTATGTCAATGTTTACAACGCAGTCTATTTGTGGCACACTTTATACAATATACAACCCAATTATAAATCTTAAACAGGAAATTATTTGAAAAAATATGAATATAATTTACATTCTTTTTTCTAATTATCATTAAGGTGAAATCCTAATTTTCTGTGTGTGTGTGATTTTTTTTAGTTTTATAATAACTCGATTATTCAAATAAAAAGTAATAATATCAAATGTCTATGTTGTAATTCAAAACCACTGCATTGCATGAGCACAAGGATACATTATATGTGGAAATTCGGATATGGTGTACAAAAAACCTTTGCACCTTTGTTTGCGGTATACCATCTTTGCCGCAAGTTTAGTGTTTTCTGTTTGGTATTAAATCTAAAGTTAAGATCCATTTATTACACCTTGTGATCCGTTGATTTGGCAATCGCCAATAGCAGTCAGCAGGGTTTAAGAACATTTGTTGTTCGACCTGTTAGTCAAATGCGTTTTGTTCAAATATACTTTTTCACTTTTTTGGTCTTTTGGAAAATGTTGTTTGTGCTGTATTTAGACCCCTCTAACAAGAAATTTGTTTTGCATGCACACGTATAAAAATTGCGGTTTTTATCCAACGCAATCATAGGTTTGAACGTTGTTTTCAATTTAGACTTGTATATATATGAATATATATATATATATATATATATATATATAAGACAACATTCAAAATAAATTAAATAAATGAATACAGATATCAGATAACCTAAAGTCAAGTAAATATTTGAGCGGTGCTATTTGACAAATGTGTTACAGTGCATACTTTTTTATTATCAAATTTAAGGGGTCAAAGATGACCTTAACATCATGCCTTCTCCTTTGTTAAAATATAAGAGAAACTAATAACTATAAAAATAAATTCAGAAATAACATAGATTTCCTTTACAGTATATATATAGAGATATGATTTATAATCACTCAGTTATCAACACACGAATAAACTGGGACATTTATGTAAGAAATGTATGAGATATTCAAAACCCGAGCTGCACGTTTAACTTCGGTCTTGTCGCATGGCGCAAACGTAGTACTCACAAATATGTGTCAAAATATGCAAATTGAAAGTTTGGCCAACTTTGCATCGTAAAATCTCCTCAAATATCCATAATATCTAAAAGACATTGCAGTTTTGTCACACGTAAAAATTATCGTTATGCCATAAAAAACAACCTGAATTTGCAATAATTTAATTTTCTAAGTCAAATAAACCATTAGCGCAGCTCCTCCTTATGAAGTATTTTTTGCAGAAATATAATTTACGAAAAATGAAAATGAAAGAAATAATAGGAGATACTTGATGAACGTCGGGGACTCGATGGTCTAAGTAGTCGAACTACTGTAACACCAGCCTGTCAACACTGAGGGTGTGAGTTCCGGGGGAAAAACTGGCATGATCATATTTTCCCGCCTGAGAAATTTCGGATCATTGTCATTCTTCCCCCGCAGAAAGTTGACAATACATAAACATATAGCCACTTTTCCGTCATGCCACTATTTCCCCCGCAAAATGGATATATATCAAAATTACACGGCCATTTATTGCATATATTTTCCATATTTTCAAAAGAAATGATTGATCTCAGGAATGCTATAATAATCTGTGTTTCGGTTTGGGTTGCATAGAAGAAATGTTTGGTACAAATTGTGTTCGTTTTGTCGACACGCGTGTCAGTAGAAACGTCTGGGGGTGGGACACCTATTACAGGGGTGCTATTTGCACTTAAAAAAATACCCCCATTCATATATAGACTATATTAAAAAAAAATCGATTTATTCGTATGTCTTACATGGAAATGTGTTCCACATATTGGCTGTGGATGATAAAATGCTACTGTAAAAGTTGGAGATTAAAACTTTCAGCTCAGGAATAAATTTAGTTAGTATTCATAAAGATATTTAAACCCATTGATATATTGTTTAATAGAATTGCCACCCATTGATATATCAAAGGCTGAAATTTTCCATCCATTCATATGTTTAACATCCTGGAAAACGGGCATCAGTATTGAACTTATTTATAAGAAGTGACCCATCAGTAACATTGAATTTTATGTTCATGCAGCCGTCTGTGTCCATTAGCATGTTCATGTCAGATAGTATAGTGATTTCATCACACATTCACAATTCTGAGTTCATTTCAGCATGGCCACTCGTCTGTCTCAAGTCCCTGAATCTTTCATCATGTCAAGTAGTCTGTTTTCATGTCCACCAATCTGTGTATTCTATATGTCCACAAATCCTTTTACAAGTTCACCATATTGTGTATATACTCACGGGTCTGTCTGCCTACAAGTCTGTCTACATGTCCACCAGTCTGTGTGTGTCCGCAAGTCTCTCTACATGTTCACCAGTCTGTCTGCGTGTCCACAAACGACATGTTCACCAGTTTATCTAAGTGTCAACCAGTCTGTCTACGTTTCCACGAGCTTGAGGCAGTCGACATGTTCATCCACCGTGACCGGCTAGCTATGTATACATAAAAAGATGTGGTATGGGTGCCAATGAGACAACTCTCGATCCAAGTCATAATGTATAAAAAGTAAACAATCATAGGTCAAAGTACGGCCTTCAACACGGAATCTTGGCTCACAGCGGACAGCATGCTATAAAGAGCCCCAAAATGACTAGTGTTAAACAATTCAAACAGGAAAACCAACGGTTTTCTTCTAGTCTGTCTATGAGTCCACTAGACTGTCTACACATCCAACAGTCTTTAAGTGTGTTCACTAGTATATCTATGGGTCCACCAGTCTGTGGACATGTTCATTGGTATGATTATGTGTCCACGATTATTGTGTGGTAACGCTAAACTATTTGAAAGAAGGCTACTATCCTTTAGGGGATAATTAATTTCCAATTGTAGTCACCGACTTACTACAAAGGGGGAAAATGAGCTTCTAATGTTACTAGGGGGAAGAATAGGCATGATACTGGTCCCCGGAAGGGGGGGGGAGGATCATGCCATTTTTTTTGGGGGGGGGGGGAGGGGGGGACTGGATCGATACAGTTCTTCCTTAACGAAAAATTACCATGGGGAAAATGGCTATAGATCTGTACTTATTGTCTTTTTGTATAGGGGATGCATAAGTACCCTGCCACGTCCACTCTGTGTTTTTGTTAGATGTATTTCTGCTTTGTATCTATCTGATGAGTTAAGCCGTTTTCAACTGATTTTTATAATTTGTTCTTATGTTGAACTGTTACACCACTGTCCCAGGTTAGGGGAGGGTTACCGCCTTCAAACAAGTTTAACCCCGCCACATTCTGTATGTGCCTGTTCCAAGTCAGGAAACTGTAACTCAGTGGTTGTCTTTTGTTGCTGTACGTATATCATATTTGTTTTTAGTTCATTATTTTGTGCATAAATCAGGCCGTTAGTTTTCTCTTTTGAATTGTTTTACATTTGTCATTTCGGGGCCTTTTATAGCTGACTATGTGGTATGGGTTTTACTCATTGTTGACCTATAGTTGTTAATTTCTGTCTCATGTTGGTCTCTTGTGAAGAGTTGTCTCATTTTGCAATCATACATGTACGACATCTTCTTATTTTTATATAGGACACCGGCACGTGGCAGGGGCGTTCGACTCCAATCTTAATTGACTAGGATTGTCGTTTTTCTTACCAAAGGTTCTCTTTGCGCACACCGGCTTCCTCCACCAATAAAAACTGACCGCCACGAAATAGCGCAATAGTGCTGAACGTGGCGTTAAACATCTATCAATCAATCAATTGATGAACGTCGATGAGACAGCAATCAAATGACACGCGTTTATACAAATTGGTATCTGGTGATGTCTCCAACGACGATCATGGCGTTTGACATACTTTTATTGATATATTAAATCCATTAAATTCATTCTTTACATTTGATATTATGTTATAATTACACCTTTTGTTAAATAGAAAAGTAATATGTATGAGTAAACAATGTAAAAAAGTACAATACCTAACAAAATACCGAACTCCAAGAACACTGATAACTTTTGTATACATCTATATAAAATGGTATGAGCTTGAAATTAAAAGAATATCATGTTTTTATAATTACAGTTATAATAAACAAACCTATGATTTGGAATAAACACAGATATCCAAACATGTTGACTTGTGATAAATTGTGTTTGCAGTGCGTACCTTTTCGCTGTGGTTTGACAAGTTACAAAAAAAACATTTTTCATGCATCCAGTAATAATTTTCTTCCTTATACGTCAACAGCTTTTGCATGTACTCCGCTTCGTTAGCACAGGAAGTAAGCATGTAAATACCCAAAATTTGGGTAAATGATAACTGATGCTTGTTACAGTAAATTTTGCGTTTTCAATATGTAAGTTGATTTTGACGATGTGGGACACTTATTTTAAAAGCGATATCAATTATATCTGGAGTCTCAATAGTAGTTTGGAAGTCCTAGATAAAGTGAATCTGTTTAGAGTCAGTTCGACTTCGTTGACATATTTGATAACTCTATTCTTTGTACGACAGTAAAATAATTATTTCTAAATAGGAAGTTTCCTATTTGTTTAGATATTATTTCTCTAAACCTGCATTTCACAACATATGTGTTTCAGTTCTTCAACGAGTTATTTTTTGTCAGCATGAAACAACATGTTATTAATATGAAGACTGCTTTAAAAATATTAAATCAAATAGATGAGCCATGCTATTTGATAAGGTAACAACCCGGAGAAAGACATGTCACCCTACACGGGAATTATTCTGACTCTCAGCCGACCAGTCTTTGCAGTTACTCCTAAATTCCACATGCATATCGGAGAAAGGGAATTTATCAATAGTCAAGTCTTTGTTTTATACCGACAGGGGATCGAACCCACGATCTTCTGCACTCGAAGCGACCATGTTACCATGTTACCAAGGAGGCTGTAGATCTTTTTGGAATTTTTTGTAATTGATTTGGCCGTCCAACTGTTTCGATCGAACGCCACTAATGAGTTTTGTGTAGACGAAACGCGTGTCTGTCGCACTTTAGAATTATCAGCCTGGTATCTTTGATTAGTTGTTTTGTTTTGTTTTTTACTGTTTGTATGTCCACTTAAGTAAATTTCCCCTCTTTTTCAAGTTTTAGAACGATTAAGCCATTATTGTTGTTTGCGTCTTTGTAATATTGATGATTGTTTGAGTGTACCATCATTTGACTGGTATCCCATTAGTTTTACTTTTATCAATAGCTGTAAAAGGGTATATCTTCATAAGAACCTACGGAAAAACATCTTACGGATATTTTAACAAAACTTGAATACATTTAGACGATATATGCATTTTAAAATGCAACGGATATTTCTCCTACACAAAGAATCTGATTACAAATATTGTACGATACACTTTTAACAAAAAAACAAAAAAAAAACAATTATTTTGTTCTTTTAAACTGGTCGAAATGCAACCATTGTATTCCATTACAGATGCAGTAATATGAAAATAAGAAGATGTGGTATGATTGCCAATGAGACAATTATCCAACAAAGATCAAATGAAGTGGATGTAAGCAATTATAGGCAACCGTACGGTCTTCAACAATGAGAAAAACCCATACATTATAGTCGGCTATAAATGGCCCCGACTCGAAAAATACGAAACAATTCAATTGAGAAAACTTACGGCCTAATTAACAACAAAACAATTTACAAAAACAAAGATGACAGACATAAACCAACGACAATCACTGAACTACAGGCTCCTGACTTGAGACAAGCACATAAAGAATGTGGCGGGGTAAAACATGTTTATGGTCGCTCAACCATCTCCCTAATCTGGGATTTTGGTGTAACAGCACGACATAAGAACAAACTATAAAAATCAGTTGAAAAAGGCTTAACTCATTAGATCGATACAAAGAAAAACAGCAAACAAAAACACAGAGAGGACGCGGCAGGGAATATATTAATCCCTCACCCTTAACAAAAAAAACAACACTAAGTTCAGATCTGAGAGAACTCGAAGTTACTGACAGCTAGTTCAAAAGGGAATAACAACTAATAAAATAAATTATGTATCTAAGTCTAAATTATCAATCAGTACACATCCGACATCCAATGGATTTAGTGTAAAGACGTCATAAACAGTCAAAGAAAAACATGACCTTGTGCAATGCCAGAAAATAGGTATCGACAAATGTTTTTATTCAAATAAAATTAATATAGAAAAGAAGTTTGAGGTCAAATCTTCCTCCATATAAATTGTCTTTATATTTTAAAACACGTTTTAAAGCGTGTATGACATTATTGACATTCGGTTAGTTGATTGTGGACACACATTTGAATATGAGTAGTTAAAGGAGGAAGTAAGATGTAAGTTATAAAACTGTAATAAAATGGAAAATAGGTATTTATTAAGGAAGTCAATTACGATACAAAGTGAAAAAAATAATCAAAAAGCAGTTTTAAATTATTGTGCACTGCTTTTTATTAAGTTTCATTCCCTTGGATATTGAAATAAAAACTAAATTGCATAAATAAATGAACATTAAAGCTAGGCTTGTATGGATGTAAAGTAAAAAAAAACAATACAAAGGGCAATGAAAAACTATAAGTCAAAAAGAAATCGTGAGGCAAGATTAGAGGCATCAGTTTCTAATGTATTTCTACTCTTACATTTTGATACTAATTATGGTTCTTGTTTACGTTGCATGAATTAAAAAATATTCTTTAAAACAAAATTTTGTATTATAGTATGGTTTAACGTTGTTAACAGTTGAGACTATGATATATATGATAAAATATTGAATTAAATTTTATATATGTAAGTTTTTCACTAAACTGATAACAACATTATTAAGTCAACGTTTTTCAGTTGCTACATTTTCATATAGTGGAGGCTGAGCGGTGTTTTCTTCGTTATGTGCTGGAGGTTGGATAAATCCATTGCTTGAAAACCCGACATTCTGTGGATAGGTGGGTTGAAGATCTGCAATATAGATACAAATACAGTGAATGGATTTAATACTCGAATAAATTTTTATCAAATGAACATTTCATGCATCTAATAATTAACTAGACAAAGAAAAAATGGTAAAGAGAAAAAAATCATCGTGCTTCACTAAGACACATTAAGAAACAGAGCAAATATGAGAAAATAGTTTTGTTTCTATAATTGAAAACTTTACATCTATTTATTTCGCGTTTTATGTTATCTAGTTTTTAATTAGGATTTATGGTAATACATAATACTAGGTTCGTTTAAGTATGAAGCCAACCATTTATCAGTTTATCAGTTTTAGACAATAGAATTAATAAGTGATACATTTTTATAAACCTTCATAACAAAAAGAATCAGTTTACAACACGACATGCATTAATATGCTATTTTTCTATTTTCTAGTAGTTTTAAGATTATACTTTTACATACAGACAGCATTGTTGCTACTAGTGTAAGCAATTGTCGATGGAGAGCTCGTTATCACTGGTCCCTGTGTTAATGGACGAGACCTCATGCGACAACACACACAAACAACGATCGTTATAAAGACGCTTAATCCAACAATGCAACCGATAACTATTCCAGCGATAGCTCCAACAGATCTGAAATAATAGCAATAATATAAATATTACTACAATTTAACTCAGACAACGGAACTTTTAATTCGAATTATGTTTGAATCTCGATCAACAGCTGCTACAGCAATACGATGATATACATGTAAAATACTCATTTAGCCCAAGATCACAATTAATGACTCATAGTTTCGTACATAGTTCCCTTTAATTATAGTGTATTTTTCCTTAATTTCTTTCCCTTTCCTTTCTCATTAGTTTAAATGGGATGGATATGAAAGGATAGAGTTATCCATACCATTAGGGATGTGTATTGGCTTAATTTATCAACTGGGACAGTATCATTTTCCTAAACCTTTGATATATTTTGGGACTTGTACTGATCATTGCACACACCAAAGATTATGAGTGATTTTTCAAATGAGACAAAACGTTATACTGAACAAATAGGGGAAATTGAAATTGTCTATGGCCAGTTATACGTGGACACGTTATCGGTTTGAAAACCAAAAAAAATAAAAGCATTGATAGATATTTGTTTTTTCTTACAGTCATATGTAATTTATTTCATTGTTTTTCTTGTATGCAAAATATGCCGAATACAAATGGGTTCGTATGTTTAATAGAATTATTCCATTATCTTGTATAACTGTCATGTCTACCTACTAATAAATTAGACATAAAATGTCATAGATACGTTTGCGATTTGATAGAAATATGAACAAAATTACTTTTAATAATCGTAATTTAACCTTTATTTTTATTATATAGTGACAAATGATAGAACAGCATTATGAGCAGAAGAACGACATGTTTCGGGTGCCACATGTTGAGCAGAATATGCTTACCCTTCCGGAGCCATTAGATCACATCCGGTTTTTTAGTTGGATTTTTGTTACTTGTTCTTTAGTTTTTTATATTGTGTTTTTTCTACCATTGTTTGTTTTTTGCTTTTTTCGGTTTTTTCCATGGAGTTGTCAGTTCGTTTTCGACTTGTGAGTTTATAATATCAATTATCGTTCGCCTCTCTTCTACTGTACCGAAATTTACCAATCTTGTTACATACAAGTGAGTTGAACAGCGATAATCAAGCTATCTTATACTAGTATTAGGTAGAACATACAAAGTTGAGTGGTATACTGAGTAGTAGTCTGTATTATCAAAGTTAGGTACAAAACCACAACATGGATCTGGTAAAATCTTAGAACAGCAACCGTAATAACAATATTTAGCTCCAGTTCTTATGTAATATACTGTAGTCCTGTAGGATTAAAAACAATATGAACCAGATGCCAACTCTGAAAATAAAAAAATAAAAAAATGACCTTTAAATAAACTTATTCTAAAAGGTTACCAACTCAACACTGTAATTAGATCATTAAATATTGTTTTTATTGGTACTAATATTGATTTTAATAATCAGTAAATAAAAAGCAAACTGTATATGATTGTTATATACATATACACATTCATGGATCTACAATCTGTCGATACCTGTATCTTGGCATTGCACAAGGTCATGTTTTTCTCTGACTGTTTATGACGTCTTTACACTAAATCCATTGGATGTTGGATGTGTACGGATTGATAATTTAGCCTTAGATGCATGATTTTTTTTATTTTGTTAGTGGCTTTGAACTAGCTGTCAGTAACTGCGAGTACTCTCAGATCTGTACTTAGTGTCTTTTTGTTGTTTGGATGTACACGCACCCGGCCACGTCCACTTGTATTATTTGTAATTTTATCCATCTGATGAGTTAAGCCTCTTTCAACTGATTTTTATAGTCCGTTCTTATGTTGTACTGTTACACCACTGTCCCAGGTCAGGGGGAGGGTTGGGATCCCGCTAACATGTTTAACCCCGCCATTCTGTATGTATGTGCCTATCCCAAGTCAGGAGCCTGTAATTCATTGGTTGTCGTTTGTTTATGTGTTATATATTTGTTTTTTGTTCTTTTTTTTGTACATAAATTAGGCCGTTAGTTTTCTCATTTGAATTGTTTACATTGTCATTTCGGGGCCTTTTATAGCTGACTGTGCGGAATAGGCATTGTTCATTGTTGAAGGCTGTACGGTGTACGGTGACCTATAGTTGTTAATTTCTGTGTCATTTGGTCTCTAGTGGAGAGTTGTCTCATTGGTAATCATACCATATCTTCTTTTTATATATATACAAATCAACATAAAATGGACTGTTAAACACGGAATTTCCATCGGTTCCCAATAGTTAGAATTTTTCAGGGCGCTGAACAGATTAACATGGTACACATGTTTGTTTTTTTAACTGTTGGGTTTGTTAATTTCATACAATCTGAATAAAATACTGATCCTGTATCTAAGCTTTGCTTACAATGACAATACTCCCTTTTACTATCTGTTTTTATAATTATTACACACTGTGTAGCAGCATCACCGGGTATAGGTACCCCCGAAGCAAAGAAACAATGATAGCAAAAAGTATATACAATGTATTCTATTTACCTGACTTCACATTTTTTTCCACCGCTTCGGGGTACCTATTATCCAGTGGTGATGCTACACAGTTTTACATCAGCCAATGAAATTTCATCCTTCCAATGTTTGAAGGTATGTATCAATCTGACAAAACCAGAAGATTTTGAAAGGTCTTTAAAACAGAAAGTAGAATTGTCCGTGTTGCTAGTCTGGCTCATTTTTTCTATTTTGTACACAACTATTTCCTTCATTTTGTTTGGCAGAATTTTTATTTTCATTTTTCTCGAATATCAAATGGTCGTCCCCTTATGAATACAGTCGTGTAATGTTATATTATTATACTTTATGCAAATTTCTTATATTATCCATTCATTTCATTGGACATGCGGCATTTGTTAATTTTCACTAACCTTTCATAAGCCCCGCCCACCCATAGCAACATGTGATGTTATTAGCAACAGGTGCTTATACCCGCTGAGCACAACGTTTTTGCCGATTACAATTAACACCCGATCCGGTCGAGGTTTACCGATTCTTATTTCTACATCATTTCCGTAGTGTTGTTGGTGTTGTAAGTGTTCTAGAATATATTTATCTTAATTTATGACGTTATTTTTTTTACAATTGTCCTTCTAATAACATAGTGCACATTTGTATCATAAGGCTTTCAGTATAATAAAAAAAAAACATACTGCCCTCGGATGAAGGTGTTAGGGTGATTAACACACTCGGTTAGAGTCGGTGGCAAAGCCAATTAAGGTTGACAATGATTTTTCATGGGGTAACAATCTGCCCTTTCACCCTCTCGGCTGTGTGTTATTAAATTTATTATATACAGTCCGCCAAAAGTTAAGCACCACCTAAATATAACTGTCAATATTTTTTTAACTATTGCGAAAAAATATTTATGTTTGGTGTAATGAATTGCCTATAGCATACACTAAGAAAATTCATTACGACCAAAAAAATTAAACTCCGATATACCCGCCAAGCAACCTTTTATTAAAGGTCATCTGCACTTTAACAAATACACTGTTTCGATGCCTTTAAATCATTTTCCTACTGTCTCGCGTACAGGTGAAATTTGACCTTCACCAAGTCACTGTGAAATATGGCAAGCGGTAAGTTATCTGTGACCATAGCCAGAAATTAGTAGTACTTTTGCTAATTAATATTCATAATATGTAAATGAGAATTGTACCACGTGATAATAGTTTGAAGTGGACTGGCTTGATATCATTAAAATCTTTAAAACACGGATATTATAAGTTGCCCGTCACAGAGTCCTTGTTTACAATCACTCTGATATTTCCGTAAAGTTGTCAGGCGGTCAAAATCAAAACAATGAACGCGAATTTAGTGAATTTTTCGTGTTTTCGTGAGTTTATTCTTCTTGAAATAGAGGCATTTTAACTAAATGTGGGAACCTAGAGTTCAACGACTACACATACAAGGTTTGGACTTGCTTATTCTTTGGACATTCAAGTTTCAAGTTTCACCCCGGCAACCTGTATTTCTAATGACCATGTTAGCCAATTTTCAACACGAAGTTTGCAAATTTGACGTTTCAGCCATTTTAGCCTGTATTTTATACTGCAATGTTAAAAGCCTCTCGCTTCGATTTTTAAAATAGCTCAGGAACCTTGATTTTTGCAACGACAGTCATTATATTTCGTTTAAATGGTGTATATTGTTGTGTATATTTATTTTCTGCCCCGGCAACCTGTCTATCACTTAAATCAAAGTTAAAACAGACATTTTTTCAAAATTCCCTATCATTTCAATATAATTTCCGTGACCCGTATCCGATTTCTTTAGTATAATATTCAAATAAGCAAAGTGGCGTTGATTTCTGGATATGCTGAACGTTGACAAGCAATTGACATGTCAAATGCCGGTAAGAGCACTAGGAGCATTGGCAACCATTTCAATGTTAATCGCACCGTCATTATCCGATTTTTACAACGTCATATTGACACAGGAACTGTAAATGATAGACCAAGGTCCGGAAGACCCCGTTTAACTACCAATCGTGATGACAGACTACTTATTGGTCATGCTAAAGCCAACCCATTTACCCCTACCCCATAGCTTAGACACCACTGGCCTCCAGGTGGTTGTGTAAGTGTTCGTATATTGGTCCGTCGACTTCATAGAGGCTACCTAAGAGCACTTATCGCACCGCGGGTAAAATATCACGTTGTGATTGGATTAACGCCGTCACGTGGTGACCCCCTATGGATCCGTAGGGGGTTAGTAAATTCCATAGTGGGTTCATGACGTCACGTCTACTGTTAATGGTGACGTCATCTATTGATGTTTTTGTCTTTCATTGTTTATTTTTTTACAAAACGCTGCAGAAAAAGTATCGCGTGCGATAAATTCGTTATACGGTTAACTACTGACCCTCTATGGATCCGTAGGGGGTCAGTAGCGAACCATATAACTTATAGTCGTGTTGTCAAAAGACGTGCCCTAACAGCCAGGCACCGTATAATCAGGTTTCAAAGGGCTAATGACCATCGACGCTGGAACATGAGAACCTGGCAAAATATGCATTGGTCAGATGAGAGTTGGTTTCTGTTTCGACCAATAGACGGCAGAATACGAGTTTGGTGGGGAAATAAAACTGCTTATCACCAAAACAACCATTGCCCAACGAAAGCAGTGGTGTTACAGTAAGGGGTTTCTTCTCATACTGTTGTAAGCTGGGTATGCATATTTTGCAGGGTAACATGAACAGACAGACATACAGGGTTTTGGTGCTTAGAAACATTGTAGTCCCTCATTTTGAGAATCCCCAACTTGCGTCAAGACCCTCGTACATGGACAACAACGCTAGACCACACAGGGCAAGGATTGTAACCGATTACAAAGATCAAGAAGCCATTGACACTATCTTTTGACCTTCCATGTCTTCAGAATTGAACCCTATTGAACATGTCTGGGATGCCATTGGCAGAAATCTCAATCGCAGAGATCCACCTTTGCAAAATCTTGGCGATTTAAGAGGAGCAATTGTTGATGAATGGAATAAATTTGCTCAACTAAAGTTCAGAAGGCTTGTACAGAGTATGAGACGCGGTGTTATGGAACTGTACCGGAAGAGAGGTGGTTACACATCCTATTGACTTAAATATTGACATTAAATTTGCCGAACATACCAAAGATTATTTGTAGAGACTTTTAATGATTTTGGGTGATTAATTGTTGTAAAAAAATAAATTCAAAGTAAAACTTAAATTCCGTTTCTGATATGTGTAATTTTCACTATTTCCAAGAACGCAAAATTCAAATGCATAGAACCTGCATCAGTGACCAAATTTAAGTTTATGGTTTGTTTATGGCATATGTTAGCAAAATTGCTACATGAATATTTTCTCTTTTTCGAGGATTAACTGTTTTTTTTTAAATGGAAAAAAAAATCGCTGCAACAAAGATAGGTGGTGCTTAACTTTTGGCGGACTGTATACTAACTGTTCTTTTATTATTGTCTTATAAATTGTAAATTGAAACTAATTTTATGAAGTCGAGCAAGATGTTTATTGATATTTACGTTGACAGGTTATTGAATTATAATCTACACGCGAGGGTGACATTAAATGTCTTTCGCTGAGCCATGAGATAGAGTAATGACCTATTTTCAAAGAAAATCATATTCTTCAATGGTGACAGAAAGACATATCAATGTAAATTAGTGAAGTCTGATATCCACGGAAGCCGGTTAGTGTCAGGGTGGAGTTTTATTTTTAAGTCGTTATATCTTACTTGTTATAACGACTTAGCTAACTTGTTATAACGACTTAGCTTATATAACTCGTTATAACAACTTAGCTTACTCGTT